AGGGCGTGGCTTTGGAGGGGGGGTTTGGAGGGGGCGGGGTCAGAGCAGGCGCTGCTGCTCGGCTCTGGATTAGGGGGCGGGGCTCCAGCGGGGAGGGGCGTGGCCTGGGGAAATGTGACATGGGGGCGGGGCAAGTCCTGGGGCGGGGCTTGGCCTTCAGGGGCGGGGCTCGAAGGGGAGGGGGCCCAACCCACTGGCATGGGGCACCCACAGGGCACCACGGGTCCCCTCCCCTTTGCTGTGGGGTCACCACATCTCTGGGGCACCCACCCCACCCCCGTTCCCTGCCCACGGTGCCCCTCCACGTGGGTCAGGGCGAGGCCCCCCGGCCCCGCTGACCCCCCGTGCCCCTCAGAGGTGCTGCACTGGGGGCCGTGGGGCCCCTGGAGCCCCTGCACCCGCCCGCTCTGGGAGTCCATCGCCTGCAAGAGCACGGTGGGGCAGCAGCGGCGCACCCGGGAGTGTGTGGGGCACGGCCAGGGGGGGCCCTCGTGCCCCGCCGAGGAGGGGCTGGGCACCATCCACGTCCGGGCCTGCTACAACATCCAGAACTGCCTCCGTGAGTGACCCCCGCCCCGCGGGGCCGCCCCAGAGCTGCCCCGGAGCCGTCTCACAGGGCTCGGTTGGAGCTCTAGAGCTGCCCCAGAGCCGCCCCACAGTGTGGGGGTTGGGGGGTGACGCTGCCCTGTGCCCCCAGTGCACGGGAACTGGTCAGACTGGAGCCCCTGGGGGCTCTGCACCCCCCCGTGTGGGACCAGCCCCACGCGGAGCCGCAGCCGGGAGTGTCGGGCCACCCTCCCCTCCTACAAGTGTGTGGGGGGCTGGGGGGGCTGGGGGAGCTTTATGGGGCTGGGGGGGGCTCTGTGGGCCAGGGGGACTTTATAAGGCCTCTATAGGGCCAGGAGGGCTCTGTGTACTGGGGAGTCTCTATGGGGTGTCTGGGGGGTCTCTGGGGGGGCTCTTTGGGAGCTCCAGGGGATCTCTGTGGGGTTTCTTTGGGGTCTTTACAGGGTCCCTCTAGGGTCTCTTCGGGGTCTCTGTGGAGGTTCTTTGGGGTCCCTGTGGTGTCTCTCTGGGCTGTCTGGGGGGTGTCTGGGGGGTGTCTGTGAGGCCGTGGGGCCCGGGCTGACGGTGTCCCCCCCCAGGCTGACGGTGACAAACGTGGGCAGCAGCGGGAGCAGGAACGTGACGTTCTGGGGGACGCCGAGGCCGCTTTGCGAGCCCCTGTTGGGGCAGAGGCTGCGCCTGGAGGAGATCCGGCCCTGCCTGCACGTCCTGCCCTGCCCCCCCGACGGTCAGCGGGGGGAGGGGCGGGGGTCCCCGGGGGGAGGGGCAGAACTTGTGGGTCCCTGGGGGGGAGGAGGGGGGTAGCCCTCGGATTCGAGGTCCCCTGTTTACCCCCTGCCCCCCTCCCGCCCCCCAGAGGAATGAGGCTCCCGGTGACCTCGTGGGACGCTCCTCGGACCCCAAACTCGCCTGGATTTCCCCCGAAACGCGCTTGGCTCCTCCCCCCGACCGTTCCCCCTAATAAAGACCCGGCACTGAAGCGGCCCCCGACGGCCTGGGGGGGTGTGGGGGAGGAGGGGGGTCCCGGGGAGGGGCAGGCTCGTGGGGGGGAAGGGGCGGCCCAGGGGTTCTTTTTTCGGGTGTCGCTGCTCGCGATGACGTCACCGGCCAGACCCCGCCAGACCCCGCCCCTTCCCTCTGCAGAGCCGGGGGCGGGACTGATGATGACGTCATCGCCAGACCACGCCCGCTCGGAGGGTTTTGGATTGGGAGGGGCGGGGCGGGGGCGGGGCCGGATGTGAGCGCGCGGGGGCGGGGCGGGGCGGGGCCGCCCGGGGATGCTTTAGGGGGCTCATCCTGCAGGGGGGTCATTCCAGAGGGTCCCACAGGGCCCCCCCGGGCCGCCCCCCCTCCCGATCCCTTACAGCCCCATCCCCTGTAGCCCCCCCTTCTCCTGTAGCCCCCCATCCCTTACAGCCCCCGATCCCCCGTAGCCCCCTCATATCCCCGTAGCTCCCCAAGCCCTATAGCTCCCGATCGCCCTATAGCCCATCCCTGCAGCCCCCCATCCCCTGTAGGGCCCGGCCATAGGGCTGCTGTCCTCGACCACCCCAGCTCCCTCCCCCTACTGAGCAGCTTTTCCCGGGGTCCCTCCCCCTCCATAGAGCCCCATCCCCTATAGACCCCCCCCAACAGATACTTCCTATAGGGCGGCCCGACCCTCTCCCCCAGCTCTCCCTCCCCCACCTTCTTATAGGGGATCCTGCCCTCACATCGGCCCCGTATCCCCGAGTCCTGCCGGGCCCCACAGCCCTGACCCTATAGGGTGACCCCCACAGCCCCCCTGACCCTATAGGGTGACCCCTCCCCGCCCTGACCCCCCCGGCCCTTAGAGCTGCCCCATAGCGGGGTCCCACCCGCCCCCTCGGGTGTCTCGGGACCCCTTCGGAGGCACCTATAGGTGACGCCCCCCCATGACCGGACCCTATAGGGTGCCCCCCCCATCTATAGGGTGCCCCCCCCGTAGGGTGACTCCCCCAGCCCCTTAGCGCCCCCCAGCGGCGGGATGGAGTTCCTGCGGCGCCGTCTCTCTGACGGGAATTTCCTGGCGGGGGGGGGCGGGGACCCCCCCGGGGCGGGGCCGGGGGGGGGGGGGGGGGGCTGGAGTGGGGTCGGCGGGGAGACCCCCCCG